GAGACTTACAAAAAAAGGGGAATGTTTTATGAAACTATTTGTCACTTAACGGTACAGCCGAGCGGATGTAACGACGGACAGATAGCACAAAGGTGACTTGGCCCTACCTGGTAGATGCGGGAAGCTGGATCAGCGCGTGGATCATAACCAAATCGGATCCAAACTCGACCCCATGGGCCGTTGGGCATGTAGTAGGCAAATGCTGGGAGGATAAGTTTAATGGAAGAATCTCGAATGCGCAGATGCCGCAACCCGTGAAGCAGGGCGCTACGAGTCCAGGCGGGGCGTTTTCTAAATAACTGAAAATGCAGAAGAAAGAGATAAGGGTGGAGGTAATATCAACTACGCCTAAAACGATACTAAAATACCCAGAAGATACTGGTGAAATCCAACCCGGGATGTCGCACGGAAGGAAAAATCGATCCAGATGGAGAAAGTTCCAGTTTATACGAAATTACCCTTGTCGTTTGGCTATAATAATTTACGGTCAGCGACCAATCTCATGACTGAAATTCTAAAAGGTGTTTTCGATAAGGGACGATTACTGAAATGAGACTGCACGACTGATTACCCTGCAGCATAATCCCGAGATACGGGATTATGTTTCTGATGATGAGTCCCCTGACGGATCTCGAAACGTCAGGCGAATAAAGGCATTGTTCCAGCAATCGAGTCGTCTTCTTTTCAATCGCAAGATAGTTCGGACATGCTAGGATGCCGACTATTTGGTGCACCTCATTTTCGGCCGTCTGCCAGAAACGAATTCGGCGAAAATAACCACTTAGGTAGTATTTTTTAAATAATCTATGCCCGATATCACTATAAATTCAATATGCTTTACAGAAAACATGTACAAAAGTAACCTTTCTTGTAGCAATTTGCTAAAAAAACGAGTTTTCCGCAAATAGTACACCAGTAAACTTGGTGCTGCGGCCAGACTAGAACAACGAACGTAGCGTGGGCGTCACAACACGAAACTTCGGCTGGAACCGTGAAACGTGTTTTTACGAATGTGGGGTAATTGTGCTGAGTAGGAAGAAAAACTACCTAAATTCCAGTGCTTATATGCTAGCGGCTTAGAGTAGAATATGTTCAGTCGCTGGCGCAAATTATCATAGCGGAAACATACTGCGCTTTCAGGAAAGCGGATGAAGGACAACCTAGGACAGGCGCATAAGCATTCTCTGTTTGTAGCTTTACCTTTTCAATCTCGTGCGCCAACTTGCGAGACGCTGGAGGAAGGCTGGAGATGGTTTCGAGAGCGGCAGGATGTGCAGCCATCGGTGTGGGCTCATTGAAGCTGACGAACATGGCGTAGCTCTTGCGCTCCTTCCTGTCTGTAAGAAACAAAAATGGCATGAGGCACTTGTGCACAACAGGCGGCAGAGTATTTGCACGTCGTAGGATACGATCAAGGGGCCCCAAAAGGGAAAGTAATGGAGAAGGTTTTTGTCTAATCTGTCCTCCAGGCATACTTTAAGCGGAAGCATGTGCCTTCTGGTGAGCAGACGGCAGGGGCAATAAACAACAGGGCGAAGGCAATCTCATCGTACAGAGGACTGTGTCCTACAATAGTACGATTTGGAAAGGTTCGCTGAGACTACAAATTGCGAAAGTTAGCACTTTGTGGTCATTTTCATAATTTGAGTACACAGAAGCATATGCAGCACTAAATGCAGGCCAGGAAATAAGCTACAATGAATTTTGGAAATTGGCCCTAGTTGGTGGCCTCAACGGAGAAAGTGGTTAAGGGATAAAATCTTCCCATTAAAAGAAAGAAAGAAAAGGTTAGATATAGTCTTTTCAAGAGGAATTCCTAATCATTTAGACTTTTATAAGGGGGACATCTAATTCGTGGCGTTTTGCTTTGCATGCTTTGACAGTTACTACTTTCAGTTAATTAAAAACAGCAACGCACTTATTATAAAAAAATTGAACAAAGTTGTCACATATGGTTTAGGCGTTAACATCAATTTTTATTGTAGGGAAAATGGCAAATTTTGTATGAATAAGCAAGGTTCTGCGAAAAAAATTGCTTTCTTGTTTTACTCAGAAAAAAGTGTTGCTGAAAGTCACCGTTTAATTGAGCAAGCTTATAATGAACACGCTCTTTCTAAAAGAACGTGCAGGAGGCGTTGTGAAGGCTTTAAAAATGATGATCTTTATGTGGACGATAAGGAACGTTCGGAACAGCCTCGAAAATTTGACAATAAATACTTGGAAAGGTTAATGGATCAGGAGCCATGGTAAACGCTTAAAGAAATATGAGGAGTCCGTAATTAAGACTAGAACTTGACCCCCTTTGATCCCTTTACACCTCTCCCCCTCTTTTCCCCTTAATTACTACTGATTGGTTTACTTAAAACTTTCGTTAACTCTACCCTCCATTATATTACTGTAATGCCTGATGATGAATTAATTGAAAACGTTCGTTCGCCTAACTTGACTTCCTGAATGCTTACATGGGTATCGTCGCTGAATTTAAGTCTTGTTTAGCGAGTGTAAATGAATATTTAATTGTGTCGGAAGTGATCAAAAAATACTAAATAAAAGCCGCTTATTTTTTTCAACGTGCTAAATAGAATCAACTCCATCAACATAAACTCCTATTGCTCCGACAACTGATGCCTACTGATGTAAACTCGACCTTATATTGGCGAAATTTAACGAAAAAAATGGAAAGTTCGGTTACTGAAAATGTAAGAGTAGGTTACTGTTATAAGTCAAAGGTAAATAGGGTCTCTAAAGACAGGCCTACCAAAGTGACTGAATGAAAACGTTTTCACGCGTTCGGTAGACTCTGATTTAACCGTAGTTCAATACTCTGCGATATGGGCATTTTCACTAGACTTAGGTGTCGTTTCGGCTTGCATGTACAAGTCAAACTTAAAACAGGCCTTCAGGGATGTTAGTAGAGCAAAAATACGATGCCTATTTCCTAAAATTTTAGCGAAAAACGAACCAACATGGCCAAGTTGCGTAAAGTATTACTTTTTCAACATCCGAAATTTGAACTGGAGAAACAGTTAACTACATCTCTCCTCCAAGGAGAAAGGACAAAATTAAAGTCAGCAGGGAGGGTACTGTAAAATATGAGTTTCATCTGGTCATCGTTGGTGCAAATGTCATTGAGCAGCGAAAGGAGAGCAACAAATCGTGTCAGGGGGGTGCTGCATCAAACGAAAAAATTTTGTGGGAGAGACAGTACAGACGAAAGCACTGGTACTTACGGTAAGGATGGTTATGGCTTTGGCTGTCCAGTTCAACGTAGTCATTTGTGCGAAAGCGGGAGGAAAAACAGTAGGCCAGTGGCTGATCGAGGCGTGTGAATAGAATGGGAGGCACACAGAGGGGGGCGTCGCTGTTTAGGTGTACGTCGAGTGAACGTGTGGGTTCTCGCACAAGTAGCTTTTCATAGAAAACGCTGAACCGATCCAAGTTTCCAGAGCTGCTGCACTGTTCTGATGGAGGTTTTTCGTACGGACCGTACTGGAAATCCATCAAGCCTACCAAAGCAGTTGGAAAAAAGGAACATGCAGTCAGGTCCCCAAATCTTGGGCTGGAAATCATGGCTTCCAATAGTTTTCGGAAAGAAGACAGACATCTTTATGTGTCCGCTTTCTGTGAGCCGACATGATTCGTAGCGATTTTTTTATGTAGTTACCATCGGTGAACTAAGTTCACCAAAAAAAACATGTAAAGCGAACTCTGCCAGTCTTACAAAGGCAGTTTTGGTGTCAACAACGGTCAGTCAGCATTTTCTGAAACCCCAGTTAGGATTGTTAACACTCCCCAGATAAATAAGGCTTTGTTGATGAGTAGCCGATAATTGAGACATGTTAAAAAGTGTCAGTTAGGTACCTCTCGCAGGCGTACAATTGGTGCTTACCAGTGAAGCTGTAGGTGCGGGGGATTATTCCAAGTATTTCTGCCTGCACTTTTTCCTCGCCCGTGCGTTTATTGCGAAGTCTCCTGGCTCGAATCACAAGAGCAGTACTCGGCGAGGGGTCACCAAAGACCGGCTTGCACAGAAACATGTCTGGACGGAAGGTTAATCTTAACCGACGAGAACTGGAGTTGAAGGTCTAAAACAGGAAGTCCAAGGAACACTTAGTTCAGCCGCTCAAATGAAATGAAAACTGCGGGCAACAGTCAGAATGCATGGAAACGGAACATAACTGTCCGGCGGTGATGGTGCTGCTGGTAGGCTTGGCTGTTAATGGTGCGGCGCGTCCACAGGCAGCGAAAAGTGGAAAAAAATTCGGTTGAGGCTGTCGCGAAGCAAACAAGCACTAACTTCTAGCAGTCACAGACCACCAATGACGTTATTAACAGGGACTGGAGAGATGAAGACTAACACACCGACTTTTCGTAGAACGGCAGTGTGATGCGACGACTAGCCAACGACGTTAAACAGACTACCTTGCAGTGACTGTCCTGTGGTTAGGTTCAAACGAGTTAATGTTAGAAAGTGAAGCATAGAAAAAACGGCCTAGGTGACTCTTACAAAGCTGCACATATTTAACATTTCTAGCACGCATCCTTAAACGAAGGTCCGACAATATTACTGCAAGTCATGCTAGTGTGTCCACAAAAAAACAATGAGCTCAGCGGCCCTGATTCAGTGTCACGCGTCCATTTACGTCCAAGCAAGCTGGACTACTTACTATTGGATGGTGCAACTAGGGAAATTTATCTGACCCTCTTACCTGATTTCTAAGAATGCACAACCTTCACCCAATGCAATTTGGATGTCTGCTGTCTGCGCGAAGTCCAAAATCGAACTCACAGGGTCTCCAGAATTAAGGGCTGAAGTCTTATTTTTTTCTCTCTCTCAACTGCAAGCGCCCTGGGGCTTTCGGGCCAGACACTTTGCAGCAATCCTTTCCGTCGGCGTCCTAACACCTTTTACTAACCAGCAGTTGCAATAGCTTTTATCCACGTCCCCTCTCTGGCCTGTTTACTGATGCCAGTGAGTGGAATGGTCTGATCTGGTCAGGCAATTCTTGGGGCTACCAACTACTTCGCCACTCAGACTAGATGCAAAAATGGCGTAACACAACCGAGTTTCGTTGAAAACAATTCACCGGGCATCACTAATACCTGATCCCAGCACAACCGCAAACGTTCACTGACCTAAGATGGCCGTTCTGCAGCTAGTTGCATTTGGACACATTGATTTGTAAATTTATGACAAAAGGTCATGACAGATGTTCGAAAATCAAAAACCAATTCTTGACTAGAAATTCTAGCAGGAAGCAGAACAGGGAAAGGCCGTCATGTAGGCCTTTAATCCAGAGTTATTGAGGAAAATAGCAGGTTCAACCAGACACATCACGGTGAGGCAAACTACGGCAGACAAAATAGGGACGCCGTTGCCACCCGAAGGGATACTTCTTGTGGACTGATGTGTGTACTCTCCTTGCGTTGTTGTAACCGCCAGCAAGAGAATTAATTACTATAAATCCTCTATTACTGTAAATACTACGTGATATAGACAGAGAACGAACAGAAACTTGCATGATTTGAGCATCACTATCTCAGATGAAACTAGAAGTAGATTAAACAGACAGTCTTCGATAAGAAAGTTTGCAATAACACTATAACACGGTAAGAACATCCCGAGCCAGTAAATAAAGATGGATAATGTGTTTTAAGCAGGTTTCCCCTCCATATGAGTGATGAGGATCTAGATCCGATACCGGCATCTTCCCTCAGTTGACAAAGAACTCAGGTCGAATTAGGAGATACAAGGGGCTCTTTGAACGCTAGGAGTCGTTCTTCGTCAAAGGAGAGGATGAATTCATCACATTACAAGGCGCATATCGTCACACATAAGAGGTTACATAAAAGGACGTCCATACGACCGGTTAGGCCAGATCATGGCCGTATCAGTAATAACTTTTAAAAAATAAGATTCTGCATGAAAAACAGCGCTAGCTGCAGTTTAAATACCTTTGAAATTCCGGTGATTCCTCCGAGCGACAGGATAGCACGGTCGTCATTTTGTACAATAGCGGGGTAGTTAACAACATAGAAATCCCTTGAGGGAATTAAAGACTCCATTAACCGCCACGAGCCGACAGAACGGTAAAATTGTTAATCCACACCTATAAAAAAGAACGGACTCAATCAAATGGGCGTAGTCACCGTCTACAGTGAAATGAACATAATGAGTAAATCGAAAATGGAACAAAGTCACACCCTACAAGTAGAAGCCTCATGAAATAATACTGTAAAATGCTCCAAACCATCTTTACAAATGTTTTCTGTCAAAATACAGCTGACTCTTGTAGATTCACTACATCACAAATAAGCATCCCATTGGAGTCTTTCGAAGATGGATTTTCGATCAATGGCGGGCCAGTAAGCACAGGGGTTTCGCAGACCGAAGCAAGCCAAATAGATATAAGCTGAAGATCAGCTTTTACTACGTCAACCAATATTACCGGTGAACTGCCTCCACGCCGTCGCTATACAGGGCCGGATCCGAACGAAATGACAAGAGTCAAGTCGACGTATAGCGTGGCCAAGGATATCTCCATCGGCGACTAAAGCGGACGCAGTTAACTACTTCTGCTCTCCAGCGACTGCACAGTCGCTCGTCAAACATGCAATCGGAGAACTGAAACCGAAGACAAGAGAGCAGGCAACACAGATCGAATACTTCTATGCAGCGTACGGCTCCTTAGCGCACAAACCACGTTTAGCGTCGAGTAGAAAGATAGTCTCAACTGATGTATAGCACAGTCTGGCTTAGTCTCACATCTGATCTCAGATAAATTAATGTCGTGGAGCCGGAAAAAGGCCGTATTCACCAGGCTTTCCCAATGGCGAACTTCATTT